TATTGTTTTACAATTAATATGATTATAATTTTTTATTTATTTAAGGAATATAGTGCTAGCCCGTTCTACATCATTCTCCCTTGGTTGAAAAAAAACTCTTCCATGAGTTTTGAACTTGCAAATAATGTAAAATCTTGATATTTGAGCTTTTCAGCAAACATTTTGCTTGGTAATTCTCTTCAGCAGTAAACATGAAGGAACAAGTAAACATTTACGAGTATGAAGTCAACATATTGAACAACTTGCGGTTCAACTTCATCCTTAAGTTGAACATCATTAGTCCCAAGTATTGGCTTAGGTTCCTCCTTGCATTGATCATCTACAGGACTCTACATAGGTAGTGAAATCTTGAATAACCTTAATATGTTTACTCGTAGGAAGACATGACAGTTCATCTCGCTTCTCAACCTCGACAAGCACCTCCTTTTTATCTTTTCCATTGACTGTAGGTGCTTTTGGATGTTTATATTTATCCATCTCTTCTGTAATCAAAGACTTTAAAATTATATCTTTTATGCTATGCATAAAACTATAAGTGTTCATAATTTCATCATACTGAGCCTTTCGATTACGAAGTCAAGGATGACCCAGAAAAATATATGCGAACATCATATGAACTACATGAAACAAGATTGAATCACTACAGTTGCCATGAAGATCAGAGACGAGTTTTTTATGTTAAAGTTACCAAAATGCTCGACTCATTCGTCCATACTAGTATATACGGTGGGGACGCAGTTGGCGTTCAAATATTGAGTCGTTCAACAGTAGATCTTGAAATAATATTTCAGCAACACTCTTCATGAATGACGAGTTTCTTATATTTGTTTGCACAGCATGCTACAGTTTGAAAATTGGAGAATACTTTTGATCTTTCTCTACATTAACCGCATTATCTTACTTAACTACAGTTAAGAAGGACTAATCAATTCTATCATCCTCGAGTCATTACTCATTCCTTTCCTCACGATTCCCCTTTAAATTTTTTCAATCACACACTTTGCGGAAACAGGTTTCAAAATAAGAAGAGTAGACAAAAGTACCTCCTTTTGAACTGTCGAAAACCAGTCTAAGAGAGGATAAGCTGATCTAGGTGAACCAATTCTTGTCAAACCCAATCAAAAAAATCAAAACAAAAAACGATATGAAAGGCCCGCTTATGTGTGCGCATGCTTGGGGTCTAAGCACCGATTTTTGGTCACAGAACAGAGGTGACCATTTGGCAGTCAGCTCAATCAGAGGTATTGGCCTCAGATAGGAGGCCGGTGTAGCACACGGCTTTGTAGAAGTCCGGATTGCAAGACGCAGCGATTATGGGAGCTTGCGTCGACAAGTGTGGCAGTTTTTGGTGGAGTTTCATGGCAGGGCTTCGGGCATCAGCCGATTGGGACTTTCTAGAGCTAGTAATGGTGACAGTGTCAACCACATCTGGCCAGTGGCTGTTTTAGGGGCTTTTGGATTCTTTTTTGGCAATTTTTACAAATGAGTTTGGGCGTAGCGTTTGGAGAATTTGGATGTAGGATTCTTTTAATTTGATACCAAATAGATGTAAGATAAACAGATTTGATTTCTCCAATCAGGGATTAGAGGATAAAAAAAACTTAGACATCACACTTAGTTTCTTAGATATCACATTTAAGAACTTTTAAGCATCACACTTAAAGAGTTTAATGACATCATGCAACTAGAAATTTGAGAAACTTCCGAAATATTATTGAATAATTTCAATGATCCAATAAGTGAAATTATAAGCTATTTTTTTTAAAAAAAATAAAAGTGAAGTATTATTACGCACAAGGTACCAAGGGAATACCGCCCATATACAAAATAATTACAAATCTATATATTGATTGATGACCGCACTCATATCATCAATATCTTTAATATCATGACCCAACAAAATAGATCTAAAAGTGTATATCTATTTATCTCTAATGTTACCAAAGTTAGTCTCTACCCCCTCAAAAGTTTTAACATTTCTTTCTTTCCAAATT